ATATTTGGTCAATAATTAAAATATTAATTTATAAATGTAAATAAAATTCGCCATTTCCTTGGCACTTTCAAGCATTTTATACGCGAAAGGTGACAAATACGGATGGTATTAAACATTTAATGAACCTGCCGAAACTTTTAATGTTGATACGAAGCTGAAAGGATTAATTTTATCATTATGTACACTTATTTATTTTTAATATTTTTTTATATAAAATTGATTAGACTAACCTTTTTAAGTAATTCCATAAATACTGATTTAGTTGTAATAATATATCAAGAGATTTCTAAATTAAATTGCAAATATTTGCAGTTTTTTATTTATGTGAACAATTTTAATGTTTTACTTTAGATTATAAATTTAATTACCCGAATATTGGAAAATTAATATAATTATAATTTATTTCTACTTAAGATAAAGCGTCATTATGTTCCGTGTAACCTAAGAAAACTTAAAGCTTTCAACAAATTTATACAGATCAAAAGACTGCTTGTAAATAGAAATTCCGCACTCACAGAAGCAAAACCGGATAGGAGGGTATTAAGGGCAATTGTTCCGTGACCCGCATTTTTGGGAGCCCCAAAAGATGATACCAAAAAAAAGTTTTAATCTCATTTATAGAAAATGTTTAAAAAACAAAAATTTAAACTTCATAAAATAATTTTTATAATGCATCTCTAACATATGGGACCTAAAGTAAACACAACAGAATGTAATTAAAACATTTGGTGAACACAATAAAATAATAATAAACGTTTGACTGTGTTTGTGTTAACATTTATTTTTATATGACACTGCAGATTTCATATTATCTTGTGAATTATACAATACTTTTAATATTTAATAGCGATCAATATTGTTGTGTTGTCATTTAATGTATCTTACAATTTTGAATACTACATACAAATAATTTTTAAAAATAATTTTTTTTAATTTAGCAATAAATATTAATAGTTTCAAATAGGTAGTGTATTTAAAAATGTATTTTTTTAATGTTAGTTATTTATTATCACAAAAACATAACTAAGAAAAAAGGCCAAGTTCTATAATACTCCTCTAAAAAAAAAGGAATGCATATCAAATGTGTGATATCTACATTGTAGTTGGGTTTATTATGTAATGTATAAATTAATGATTTCAACTTCTTCTCGTACATAGTTTAATATTAATGGTTTTTACAATTGGAAAAACACTAAAGATCAACTTCTTGAACATGAAAATTTGAAAAATCTTCTGAATTCATTTATAGCAGTCAAAAATCGATTGAATATTTTAGGACGTAATGAAATTAAATTAAAAAAAAAAAAATTGATTAAGAAAAATTGGTAAATGGTTTTGACGAGAGTCATAATAAAGTATTATACAATTTTTATGCAAACATGGATTAGCTTAACGATGAAATAATGAGATTATAGCGACTCAACAAATTAATAATACTGTAGTATGTCGATTCATGGAAGGTTTTAATCCTGCTGAAAGATTTTTCAAATTCTTACATATTTAAGGGCATAATGCTTAAGAAATTATTGATGGTGTCATGGAACTTATGAAAGAAAATAATTCAGATTTACAAAATTGCCGGGGTCAATCTTATGACAATGCTTCAGCTATGGAATTATGAAGAAGCACGTCCGATATGTCTTGAAATTAATCGTGATGCAATTTGTAGAAAAATTGCTCGTTTTTTTATATTGTGTATCACTGAACATTTATTTTTTAATTAATTTCAAAATATCAACACTTTTTTTTAAATTTAAGTTAGTATAATAATAGTATTATAATATTCCTAAATACTACATAAAAGTTAATAATATGCGGAATATATTTTATTCCGCATATTATTTTATATATTTACTGGCATAATTGCAAAATTTCAGATATGGTGGATTGTTTTTTGCCGAGCCTCAAGTTTCCCTTCTAGTTGTTCAGAGTGAACGCGTTCAAATTTTACGAAATAAACTTGAACATGAACTTAATTCTTATTGTATAAATATGAACCCTTTTAGTTCAATCATTATAAAATTCAATTATAAGAAAAATTGTCTAGCGTCTGCCATTTGAATTTTAAATTAATATGATCATCTAGAATTTTAATGTCTAACTTAAAATTATTTGTAACTTTAATTTTAGAAACTAGGTTTTCTTGAAAAAATAATAATTTAATATTTCTTAATTTTTGTAGAATTTAAATTTGTCTTGGAAAATTATTTACTTAGGTATTAAATACCTACAAATAAATAGTGATACTTAGGAATAATTAACGTTGGATTCAGCTCAATAACAGCGAAATAATTTATTTGTATTACCTCAATGGAACTGTTAAATATAACAATACAACAAAATTATTTTGTAAATAACTCCTGTTGGTTAATAACGCATGTTTGTCTGTCAAGCTGACACTCGACTACTCAACAGCTGTTGTAAACTTATTCTTGGAATACATACCTAATCAAGAAAAATTAAATCAGGCAGTAAATATATTTTATTTCTAGGTAATGGCAGTGTGTCCTACAAATGGTAATAAACACGTTATTCACGAATTCTAATAAACAATTATTTCATTTCCGGTCTTATTAAGAATAACTTTATTTTTGTAGGTTTCATAATACTCTTTTCATGATTGCCTAAAAAAATATTACTTGTTTAACAATAAAAACCGTAAGAAATTTTCTATCATTCTATTTTACACGATTTTCAGGTATTTATTCTTAAACTATGAATTGATAGGTAAAAATATTCAAGTTCTCCAATATATGTTAGTACAAAAAAACAAACATGAAAAAACAACTCTTTTAGCAACTGTTATTTGTTATGATTATCCGATGGCTAATATTTAGAGGTGACTATTGGAATTAGAAAAAATATGTTTATCACTACCGATATTTAAGTTTTTTTTCAGACAGATCCAAAATATTCATATAGTTAAATTGACACTTAATTTACAAGTGTAAATGTATAAGTATTTTGAGATAATTGTAAAAAACGCCAATAATATTGAGTGAAATAAGACAAGTTCGATTAAAAATTGATATTTTTTTTTTTAATAATTTTCCCTTTTAATTTATTATAATTTACAATGCCTCATTTTATAAAAAAATAATTTCTACAATTAGATACAATTTTTTTTATTGGACTTTTTATTTAGAAATATGGGTCCAGTAGGAATAGAACTCAGTTCCTACTGGTAATTTAAATAATAAACAACAACTGTCCTACAGACAGGAAAAGGGTCAGACTTAAAAAGGATATAAATTGAATAGTACATAACTAAAGTATTATTAAAAAGTTATAATTTTTTTATGTCTGTAGCCACTTTTTCCCAGCTCTCACCGAACCGATTTCTTTCAAAGATACGTCAAAACATCACAAATCATATCTAATTGAAGAGATTGTCCTTAAAAATTGAACAAATTTTTCCCGTTCCTTGTAAATGGGGAAATACTCCAAAAAAAATATACAATTTTTAAATTTTTCTTAAAACTGCCATAACTTTTTCAAAAATGAACAAATCGAAATAATTTGAATATAGAAACCTAACGTATTTCAGATTAATAGTCAGGTTTTTTGAAAACCTGACTATTTACCTGCCCACAGAGACATTCAAAATAACAACATTTTCACAAAAGTCAATTTTTTCAACTTAACTTTTAAAAATGTTCGAGAAATACTGCGTCTTATAAATATATTTTAAATTAGAGTTTATATTACGTACAATAAATTTTAAAAAATATTTGTCCCGACGATCCATATTCGATGTGCAAATGGCACTCAAAGTTGAATAAATTTATTAAATGTTTATTCATATATTATATATGAATATATATACTTATATATCATAAAAATTTTAATAAGGAAATATGAGATCATGTTGCTTTTGAATAATACTCCAATTTTTTAAAATTAAATACTATCTACAGATTTGCGTTGATGTGTTTCATATGATAGTGAATTTAATAACTGTCAGTATATTATCTATACTTGTCCCAATTATGCCACATCCACAGTGTGCTACTGTTTTTTTTAATGTTATTTAAACGATATTAAAAAATAAACACATCATAGTAAATTTAATACCTTCTCAGCTTCGCATCGAAACTAAAAAAGTTGTAAGTCAAAATAAATACTTTCGAAAAAACATCAGGAGGATTAGTCTCCCATTTCTTAATACGCAAATGGAGTTAACACTGATTTCATGAAAACCATTTAAGTTATTGTACGACATATTATTTAATTTTTTTAAAATTAGAGTGTTTTACACAAAAATTGTACTTTTTTTTTTAACTTTGATGTCTGTTTACACTTAGAAGATAAAATCTAGAGATTAATTTTTTTTTCAAAATGATGTATATTGTATGATTTTAAAATTAATCAATAAACTTTTTATAACAAAAAGTTATAGCAATACAACAAAGTTCAAATTAAAAATAAAAATTCAAAAAATTAAATAATTTTTTTATACGATTACCGTTTTTACCATGAACACATAAGTTTAGAAGTAAATTTTTTTTTTCAATATAAATTATGTTACATAAGTTTAAATTTAAGATATTCTTTAAAGGTGTTAGAATTTTCGGTACATTTTCAAAAGTTAAATTTTGAAAATGTCGCTTTTTTAAACCCCTCAAAAAATTTTATAAAATGAAAAAAATTATTTTGATTTGTTTATTTTTCAAAAAGTTATGAATTTAAAAAGAAAAAAATTTCAAAATTGACTAATTTTAAAAACCAAAGTTTTCGGGGATTTTCAATATTTACGGAAAAAAATAAAAAATTTTCCAATTTTTGACGGTAATGTCTTAAATTAGATACGATTTATGATCTTTCAACGTGTCGTTAAAAAAAACAAGTCCGATGAAAGGTGAGAAAAAAGGCGATAGACATAAAAATAATAAATAAATAATCACAACATAGAAAAATTAATAACTTCGATGTGAAGATGAAAAGCTAAAAAAATCATATTAATAAAATAAAAATAATAAACACATAATAATAATAATTACCTTCTGAGGTTCGCTTGAAAACCAAAAAAATTGTCATTGTACAATGCTTTGTATTAATTTTCCTTGTTTTTATGGTACTCAATAAATACACATACACCGGTATCAAGTTTTGTATTAAACATAAAACTAAATTTTAGTCTTGTTACTCAATCTAGCAGTATAATTATATGACATAAACGTTCTTATATAGCATAACCGTGGTTTTTATCATATGAGCTGTTGTTCATATCTAGTTGTTACCAGAATACCAGTAAACTTTACACATATTTGAATACGAGTGATTATAAATTTTGAGGTTAAAGTGTTTATTATCTAAAATAGTGACCGTGTTGTTAAAGAATCCGGTTTTCACTTTCTTTGCGTTCGTGGTAGTTTTTTTGAAAAACGTCATTAAACTTTTAAAAGAATATTAAAGAAACAAAAAATGCCAGAAGAAGTACCTCATTTTATACCACCCGAAATACAAAATAATCCTACGGGTTGGGGACCATGTGAAATGCCCGATCAGTTTAAGGATATGCCTTATCAGCCTTTCTCTAAAGGCGACCGCATTGGAAAAGTAAGAACTATTAACTTACTGTTATATTAGTTATATTATTAATACTTATTAATTACCTTAGATATCTGATTGGACAGGATTATCCCAAGATAAAAAATATTTGAGTAAGTACTAAGATTGTTATATATTATTATATAGTATAATGTTTAAATTTTATTTAGACAAATATCAATCACAATTTGGAGGTGGTACTCAATATGCTTACTATCATGAAGAAGATGAAAATACTTTTCATTTGGTCGATACTGCACGTGTTCAAAAACCGCCATATCAAAGAGGTCGTCATTTTCGACAAGGAGGTCGTCTGTTGCGCGGCCAAAGTGGTCGTGGCGGATTATCTCGTTTACCTGGTGGTTCTAATCAATTCCAATCACTTGGAAAGTTAAATAAATTACAAAGGTAATAAATAAAAGTTTTCTATTATAATGAAGTAAAACAACTTATTTACATTAATTTGTTACTAAATTTAAATTACTATCATAAAATCAATTATTTTTATTTATTTATTTGACATTGTTTTTTAAATGGTTCAAAAAATGATGCAAAATTTTTTGGTTCTGTTCAAAGTGTTATGTATAAACTATTGTTAAATTAAAATTCCTGATTGTCAGCTTAGTATTTTACTAGTAAATATTGTGATTTATGTTATCCTTCAGAGACCGTAAAAACCCTAATGCTCGTAGAGGATGGAATAAACAGCAAGGTGGAAGATCTAATAAAAATAATATGCAAATGAAAAGTCGTGATGCTTCAGTCACTGTCCGTGCTGATTGGAATACAATTGAAGAGATGGACTTTGTTAGATTTTCAAAATTATCATTACCGTCTATTAAAGAACCAGAAGATCTGTAAGTCTAATATTAAATTATTTAGGTTTCAATACTTACATATTAAAACAAATTTAGAGTATGCTGTGGTTCCTTGGAATATTATGATAAAACATATGATAGAATTAATGTGAAAAATGAAAAACCATTGCAACGTGTAGATAGACTCTTTCACACTGTTACTACTACTGATGATCCCGTTATAAGAAAAGTATGTAATTTAAAATTGTTTTAAAATCTTTTAGTTATTTATGATTAAAGTAAAATTTATGATTATTCAATTAAACGAATATAAAGATGTTAAAATGTCTTATCTTAAGTTATTTATGGACTAATTATTACATAGTATTAGCTAAACTCAACTAAATGTATTTAAATTAACATTATACTATCATGTTAAGCATGAGTGATGACATAACATCATTATTAATTATATGATAATATTGAGTAATGACAATAATCTGGATTTAAGTACATTTATAAATTTTATTAATGCCATTTTAAAAGGTCTCAAGTTTATGCATCTATGTTATAGACACACATATAATAGTCAGCAATCTTTTAACAAATCAATATTTGGATTTGTCTTAATATTGTTTATTACTCTGTATATTAGGAAATATGTTTAATTTTAAAGAGGGATAGCCCCCTTATCCACCCAAAACTATAACCTCTGTAGTAATTTATTAATAAGTTTTCAAGCTAAATACCTAATAACTATACTAGCTAATGGTATGTTCGAAATAAGTTAATGAAATTTATAAATCAATGTAAATTCAAGCTCTAGTAATAATATGAACTTTTAAAATGTTATTAATTAAATAAAAATTTCTCTTATATAGATATTTCATGATTTTTTTAAAAATAAGACAAAAACATTTTTTTAAGGAGTGTAGAGAACTGTTTTATTAATAATTTTTTTGTATTTTGCTTAATAAAATTTAAATACAATTACTGTTCAAAAAGTAAAAAATGCATTTCTTAAAAAAAAATTTCCAAGAATCAATTGCTTAGTTTGGATTTCCTTGGTAGAAAATACATTTATCTTTATGATAAAAGAAATAATTTAAAAATACTTTAGGGTTTTGATAAATAAGATGAAATTTATACTGTGAAATACTGTTTTAACTATAAACATTTAAAATTTTATAAAATAAAATATATTATAAAATATAATTTTATAATTTGTATAGCTGGTAAAAACTGTTGGAAATGTTTATGCTACTGATGCTATATTGGCATGTCTTATGTGTTGCACTCGATCTAACTACAGTTGGGATATTGTTATTGAAAAAGTTGGTGATAAATTGTTTTTTGATAAAAGAGATAATACCGAATTTGGTAAGATAGTTTTATTAAATAAAAATCTTCAGTATGTAATGAGTTAAAATTTTCAGATTTACTTACTGTCAATGAGACAGCAGTTGAGCCACCAACTGAAGATGCAAATAGTTTAAATTCACCCAGAAACTTAGCATTAGAAGCTACATTTATTAATCATAACTTTTCACAACAAGTGCTGAAAACAGTAAGTATATAAAAACCATACTCTGGTACTAAGTTCCTAATCTTAAAAATTAAATTTGATTTATCTTATATAATATATAAAATATTTTAATATTGTTTATAGGGAGAATCACGTTATAAATTTGATGAACCCAATCCTTTTGTATCTGATGATGAGACTGAAGGAGAAATAGCATCAGTTGCATACAGATATCGCAAATGGAATTTAGACAATGGAATCGTACTTGTAGCTAGATGTGAACATGATGCTGTATTACAAACACCTAATGGAGAACTACAATTTTTAACTATAAAAGCTTTAAATGAATGGGACTCAAAAGTAATTTTTTTTTTCTAACATAAATTTTAATTACTAAAATATTTTATTCTAAATAGCTATCAGGAGGTGTAGATTGGCGTCATAAGTTAGATGTACAACGTGGGGGTGTTTTAGCTACAGAATTGCGTAATAATGCTTGTAAGCTTGCTAAATGGACTGTGCAAGCCTTGCTAGCTGGCTCAGACTACATTAAATTTGGTTATGTAAGTCGTGTTCAAGTCAGAGATTCATCTAAACATGTGATACTGGGTACCCAACAATATAAACCAACTGAATTTGCCACTCAAATCAATCTTAATATGGATAATGCTTGGGGAATATTAAGATGTATTATAGATTTATGTATGAAACAAAAAGATGGCAAATATCTAATTATGAAGGATCCAAATAAGGTAATATTATAGTTTTTTTAGTATGAATTATTATTATTATATTTATATAAATAAATATATACTAATTTTAGTCCAGCTAATCTAAATTTAATACAAATTTTTGGCTTAAAAATATAGAGCTTTATGGATTATAAAATCATGTTTTTCAAATAAAGATATTTTGCAAAAAAAAAGTTTTATTTCCTACATAATTTTTCTAATTGAATATCATATAATTTAATTTAAATAATATTGTATATTTTTATTTTTAGCCACTCATTCGTTTGTATGATATTCCTGATAACACTTTTGATTCAGACAATGAAGAAAATGAAGATGAAGATGCTGGTAAGTTAGAAACTTATAATATTAAAAATTAAGTAAAACTATAATTATTATAAATATTTCATTATATGTTGTGTACTTTGTAATATTTTCAGTTAAATAATTTGATTGATAAAACTGAATTACTCTTTAGTACAAGTTATTTAAGTTATATTTAATAATATAGGTGGGCAAAAATGGAAAATGTTTTTAGATTTTGTTATAAAATGAAAAACCATTCTCTTACTATCCTCAAAGTATAAAAATGTCAATAACTTCCAAAATTGTGGTCAAAAAGTTGTTATCAATCAGCTATTTTTTTAATTATCATTTAATAGATCATGATATATAATAAATAAGTTAATTAATATTCAAAATAAAATATATATTTACAATATTATTTTAAAACTAAAAATTCGCCTATTATTTATTTGTATTATATCTATTACAATAAAAATATAAAAAAAAAAATCGAACTTTTCTGATAAATTTACTGTAAATAATAATTATAAAATTTCCTGACTACATTAATCTTAACAATTTCATTTTTTTCTATTTAATTATGTGTCAATTTCAAACTTGCAAGTTGAGCTGAAAGTTATGGTAGTAAATTCATTTTCTTTTTTTTTTTTTATAAACTATCACTTTAAAGGACGAAATAATTATTATTACTTTTGACATATTAAATATCAATATCAATAATAATTTGAAAACAATTCAATATAACAATTATATAATATATAATTTTATATTATATTTTTGAATCTAAGAATTACTAATCTGGATATAATTGAGGATGTTGCTTTTATAACTATCCACCAATTTCTTAGAATTAAACATTATCTATAGATTTGCATCGAAGTGTTACTTATAATAGTGATTTTAATCACTGTCAGATTAAATCTATAATGGATCCAACAATGCCACGTCCCCACTGTGCTGTGTTTTCAATATTTTTTTTGTTTTTCAATTAAGTGATTTGTGATGTTGAATCTACGTGTATACTTTTGTGGTTATGTTTGGAAATGCGTCAAATTTTTAAGGATAGCATAATTCTATCTTTAAAATAAACCTTATTTTAAATATATAATTTTTAATTAGATATAATCAAATTAAATAAAAAGTCAATTTTAGAAACTTCTATCAGTTTTTTATTTTATTTTCTGGAAGGTCAATAGGATTATTACAGAATAAAACTGGCATGTTATTATGTTTCTATCACTTACACATCACATTATCAACCTATATGGAAGTGTAACAGGATCTGAATCATAAGTGTCCAGTTATCCTGTGATAGGGTTTTTCTCTACGACTCCTTGGATACACGGGTTCTAATCCTGTACCATGTCTCTTTTTCACATGAATTTTGGTATACTTTTGTTGATTTGCTATAAGTTTCCAGCATTAATGTTAAAACTTAAACTCAACTTCATTTTTAGAGAAAAATAATCGACACTTTAAAAAAATGTGTTTCATAACTTATTTTATATACAGAAATGTTTCATTTTTTAAGTTAATCTTAATATTTATTATATATATTAAAACTAATAGTGTACGAAACATTTTTTTAATTACTATCTTGCTCTATTCTAGTTTCCGAATCCTAAAAGTAATGATTAATGTTAAATATATATCAGTTAAAACTAGTAGAATTCAAAACTAGAAAAATTCAATTCAGTAAGTTATTCAAAAAATGAAAAATAATTAAATAATACCATTAATAAAAGCCAGTATAGTTCACTTTTCTTAAATAATAATAGTTAGTATTTATTTTTTTCCTTGTATAGACAACTACCAGAAATCTACTTAACATTAATTTTCCTAGTGTACAACTTTAAATTGAAGTTGTATAGTATTAAATTAAGCTTTTGTCTAGAAAAGTATAGTTAATAAAAAATATGAGATAAAGTTGAAATATTAATAAAATAGTTAATACTTCAAAACATTTAAAATTCTATTTAGCTATTAAATTGATTAATCCTTCTACAATTATTAATTTAGTAATTTACAAATTTTATTTTTATAGGTGAGATCAAATCAACAATACCAGCTGATCTTCTTACACCAACAAATCCATAGAACTAATTATTTAAAAATATAAATAAACAAATAAATAATTATATGTGCTTTAGCCTTAAAATATTGTATTCTTTATATTATTTCAAAAAGAGTATAAATTGTGTTTTATAAATTTAAATAAATTCAAAATAATAGTTGAATTTATGTATTATCTTGTATTTGATATTTAACTTGATATTTTTAATAAATTATCAGTTATGAACTCTTATTTTAGTTTAAATTACTATTTATAAATAACAAGGCTAATAACTGAAATAATTAAGGTTGTAGACATTTTTCTTATACCTATTTTATTAAGTATAATTAATTAATCTATATCGAATTACCCAAACCCCCAGAAATTATTAGCACTATTTAAATTTTTTAGTCCTGATAACCTGTTTATTTCTTAGTTTGTGTTTTCTTCATATCAATAAAGAGTATAAAAACATTTTTGGTGTGCAAAAAAAAAGTAGTACCTCTTCACTAGATGTTTCTGGTTGTGCCACTGTTTAAATTAATAAATTTCAGTTATTTAAATAAACTGAACTTAAAATATTTTATTACATCATACAACTTCATCATATGTGTGCTTTTATCATTTAATGTATCTCTATTGTGGTAGTAAGAGACAATTGAAACAGATGTAATTTTACTGGTTTTTAATGAGACCATCATATTTGCCCATTTTTTATTTAATACATGAAAATATTTTTCACAGAGGGAAAAAATGATTAGACTCTTATCAAAAGTTTTGAGCAAATTGTATTTATGACTGTAATTGTTTTTATTGTATGTATAAATAGTTAATTATTAGAGTTTGTATTGTATTAAAATTTATAGAACAAAAACGACAAAGATAAAATAAACTTGTTAATAATATATAAAAACGCATCGAAGCTAAAAAAACAATTACACATTGATTAAAAGTATATTGTGTATATGGCCAATATTTATTATTGAACACTTAAGCAAAAAACAATCATATGATCTGGAACCTGAAAACAGTAGACTTAACAACTTTTTTTCCATAAGTGATATATTTAAAAAAAAAAAAATACTCGTTTATTATTAATTATTGTTTCAAATCAATACTACTAGAAACTTCAATTAATATATTTTGATTACTAATAGTAACTATTTCGTATGCCAGAATGTTAGATGAAATTTTACAAAATAAAAAATTATGGTGTTTGATGAAATTGTAAGTAAATGACAAAATTAAATCAGTATTTATAATTTTTATAATAAAATATTTAAAAGCAATAAATATATTAAATGGTGTTCATAAATGAAATAAAAATATTGATTTAACTATGTTATAACTAGTTAACATAAATAAGCAAAATTTGTATTTTTACATCTTATAATTTTTATTTAATTGAAAATATGAAATATTACCATTATTATGATTATACTTTAACACTTATATAAAAAAAATATGTATAATGAATTAATATTTACAAAATGTATACTTTAATACTATTTGTACTTATATATAATTATTTTATATTGTCTATAAAAACTATTAATTATCTTACAGAGTTAATTTTGATTATCAATATAACTATAAAAAAAATTATGTATATAATTATATATTATTACTAAATTAAAACTACTTTGGTAAATTATTTATGTAGTTTAAAACCTACTTATAACATACTTTAATTTCTCTATTGCAATATTGACATCTTGCTCAGATATATCTTTATGCAATACTATTCGAACACTATCACTACTTAATTGTGACACTTTAACAATAGTCGAATGTGTTTTATTCAAATTACTGTCTAATAACTCATTTTTGTCAATCTAAAATAAAAATAAAACATTATAATATTTACTTGTCTTAACTCAGCACACAATTCTTATTTACCAGGAGAAGTTTCTGAATGAAATCTGATACATTTACTTTTGATACGTTTATATTTATAATTAACATGTTAGACTGAACCAAATTTAAGTTGCAAGTAAAATTTGGACTTGCAATTTCTTGAATTGCTGTAAAATTTTTATTTTTTAGAACTACTTAGCAAGAATATACATCATCAAATGTTCATTTCCTATTTTAAACTGTATAACATGCAAATTAACTTACCACATGCAATTGATTTTGCACGCCTATGATCATCTGCTAATCTTTCAACACAGTTTTCTAATGCATACAAGCCTGCTGCAGCAATTACTCCAGCTTGTCGCATAGCACCACCAAGTACTTTTCGTGTTCTCCTAGCTCTATACATTAATTTTTATAAAAATTAGGGTGTAGGTATTGATAAAAATATTATGTTACAACTTACTGTTGAATAAAAGATTTACTGCCAACTAATACTGCACCTATAGGCGAACCCAGGCCTTTACTAAGGCAAAAAGTCACAGAATCGCAGTCACGCACAATACGACTGACAGGGACTCCAAGACTCACAGCTGCGTTAAACACTCTTGCACCATCCATGTGCAAAGGTATTTTCTCTTTCTTTAATTTATTTGATAACTTTATTTAAAAAACAAAAAATATATTTTTTTAAAAAATATCTAAGGTAATGTAAATTATTTTTTATAATAGCAGTAGTGTCAAGTAAAAGGCAGATAAAAAAATATATATCTTCTTTGTCCTCGCCTTTATTCCAACTACTTGGGGTCAACCACCATCACAACTCTCACATCAGCCGTCCTCATATCGCATTCAATTACATCCCTCCATCTCTTTTGATCTTCCTCTACCTCTTCTTCCTTCAACATACATTTCTTTAATTGTTCTTACAACTTCCAATTCCTCTCTTTTCATAACATGACCAAACCCTCTAAGTCTATTTTATCTCATCTTATCTACGATTGACACTACACCTATATTTCCTCTTATAATCTCGTTCCTTATCCTATCTTCTCCAGTCACTCCACTCATCCACTTAAGCATTCTCATCTCTGCTACAATCATTCTCTGCTCTACTTTCTTATCAGCCGCCCAACACTCTGAACCATACACCATAGCTGGTCTCACTGCAGTCTTATAGAACTTACCTTTCAGCCTCATAGGAATTCTTTAGATAATATATATATATATATATATGTAGATTATATTAGTGACATTTTTTATTAAAAGAGTTCTTAACAATAATTTTTATAAATGAATTTGACAACATGAATTAAAAAAAAAGTATGAAAAAATAAAAAACAAAGTAAAAATCGTATAACCTTTAAAGGAAAGGAACTAAATATGTAAAAATTACGTATATTATTACAAGTATAACTATTATTATTAACAATTACTTATATAGCCTTGGCGAAATTTAAGTTTAATCAATAAATGATGAATATAATCCTATCTTTACTTGAAATTTTATATTATAATCTTAGATTCTATTATCTGTCATATAAGTCGCTAAGTTTCAAAAGGATGTATCGAAAAACTTTCTTTTTTTTTTAATTTTGCTATTTTTGGACAAATTAGTTTACAACTAGGAAAAACAAAATTAAAATAAAAAAATTTTAGACAGGTCTTATTGCAACTAAACGATTCATATTACAGATACAAAATAAAATATACAAAAAGTGTACCTCATCTATCCACTTGAGTGGTAATACAGTCCCACCACAGGTATTATGTGTATTTTCAATACACACCACTGATGTATAAGGTTCATGAGGGTCTGGGCTTTCTGGCCTAAGTTTCTCATTTAGGTCTAATATATCAAAAGTACCATCGGGTAAATTTTTTACTTCGCGAAGTTGTAAGCTACCAATCTAAAAAAATCATTTAAATTTAAAATAGTTACAATTTTAAAGTGCATTTTTTTTCTTATATTACTTGCGACGCTCCACCTTGTTCCCATAAGAGAATATGACTCTTACTACCCACTATTACTTCAGACCCTCGGTGTTTAGAGTGAACTATCACTATAATGTAACGAACAAACATTTCATTATTCGTCATAATATTAATTATTATTTATTAATTTAGGATGGATTTTTAATTCAAAACGAACTAACTCTTGAAAATAGAAATTATAGAAATACGACAGACAAGAAAACAATTTTTTATTTTTTATAAAATTTTAAACTTATCGATTGAAAAATTTGTCTATGTGATAGATTCTTAAAAACTTAAATACAATTAAAATTTTTTAAACACAGTCTAAAGATATTTTCATTTATTACCTTTAATTTAAAAATAATTTTTCTGGATTATAAATTGAATAGCCCAAAACTATGAAAATTAAATGCTAGTGATACCTATCAATTTTGATAAAGATTTAAAAGGATTGTTATAGTGTTTTTTAGTCAATGCTTTAGTTTTACTAAGATATCATTCGGCTCACAAATTAATTTATAATTCAAATGTTTTTATTTAAAAAATATTATTTAAAATCTATTACATATATAATAAAACACAAATTGAATTGACGCATCTATTTTTACCATATTGAATACAATTTACGTTAATATAATTGAATAAGATGTATTACTTGATACTAAATTTCCCATTAAACCACTTGGTAAAAATATTGCTGCTTCTTTCTGAAACAATTGAGCTGCTCTATTTTCTAATCCTGTAATATTTAATTTGGTAATAAGAACAAACAATCGTTAAGTAAAATAAAAACTTCTATTCATATCAAAATAAATATATTTTATCTTAAAAAGTATAGGTTTTTAATTGTTGTTTAGGTCAGCAATATTTAAAAAATAAATCACAATGCTTTTAATGCTAATTTGAATGATTTGAATTTATGTAAACAGCGCTTTAATTTGTAAAATAGTAATAAACGAGCATGATTTGAAATTGCTATATAAAGAAATAATCAAATGAAAATTATTTGGAAGAACAAAAGATATTTCATTTGTCAAATAATGTTGAATTAATTTCTGTAATGTAATAAATTTAATAAGAATAATTCTTTGCTTAGTTATATCAAAATGTAAAATAATATATTTACTGTTGACAGTTGGATCTTCTCCATAACCATCGTCACCTACTTCTGCTTCGAACATAGCTTGACGCATTTTTATATCAGGTCGCGTCACAGTGTCACTTCTTAAGTCGATTATTTTATTAACAGTTAGCAAATTTTCGGATTCTGTAATTTTGTACATTTTTAAAGATTTTTTTGGAATGTCTTGATTATTCAAATTCTTGTCTTTAACTCGTTACCGTTGAATGTGTACTATATGCCAATTAAGTATAATGTAGCGCTTAATGGTTTTCGGGATCACTTATCTAATACTCTCTTTTTACATTACCTATTTACATATAAATTACCATCAATTATCTTAATAATTATTTAAAACTTGAGAAAATTAGATTACATGCACAGATAAAAAATACAATGACGTATAACTAATTTTTAATGCGTAAGATTCAAACGTATATCTTATTTATCTACACACCTAATTTTTAAAATACAACAATTAAATTGATGAACTTTTATCTAAAAAAGTTTCATGATTTTAATTATATGCGAATAGTAAACTGTGTCTCATTTTGTACATGTTTTTTGGAAACTAAATTTGATTTTCTTCTTCCTACAAAATATTTTTGCATACCAATACTTATAATTTTTCTGAATTGTTGAAATAGCTAACCCAACTTTTCTCTCCTCTTAAAGTTTTTTCAGTGCATTTTACATACACACACACATATATATATATATATCTTAAATAAAATGTGAAGGAACTTCTTACACCATTTAACCGATTTTAATAAAAATCTAATTATTCGTTTTCCATACCCTCGACGACAATTTCTGATGTAAAAATTAAAGAGTTAATATATGATATTTATGTATTATACTATAAACAACTTTTTATTGTATTTATACTCATAAATACAATAGAGTAGTCAGAAACAGACTAGGAGGCCAACGGCTCAAGCACAAAAATTATTCGCTCCATAAATTTCCGTATAGCTCTAAAAACGTCTTGTAATTATAATTTCATATTAGAATTAAAAATTCATCTTCTTATTTTTATAAGTATAAAAATTCAGTACATACACATACATATTTGTAATTAACAATAAATGTTTATAATTTGTTTTGCATATTTTTTTTTTTAGATATAGCTGACTCGTTTATGATATTTATTGCATATACCAATATTTTATTGGCATATTCATAGCGGCCCAGGATTACCCCCTTGATCACTAAGGTAGTACGCCCCTGAGATAAGTAAAAAAAAGTAAATAGCATTTATTTATCAGACCCTTTGTTGAGTTTAAGGTAATTGGTCATTTTTGTGCAAGCTTATAATTGGGTTTGCTAACTAACCAAGTCTTCAATCCGAATTAAATTCAAAATTTCACCTCATTTTGTAAATTATCATTATTTTTTCTCTATTCCAGCACATAATATACTCAAATCATATCTATATACGCTAATTATACTATTAACAATCATTTAACATAATAAGTAGGTATTAACAAGCTCGAAAAATCAATAATAACCTGTCATAAAATTTTTATTTATCTACATATCATTTTTGTAAAAATATAATAAAAACTAGCTATTTTTAAATTTTTAATTATAAAAAAAAATTATTTTTTATATTATGAAAAATAAATGTTAAAAAATATGATTTTAACGTAATCTAAAAATACATAAATTGCTTAAAAGCATTTATAACAAAATGTTAATTGTATCAAAAATTATAAAAGTTACTAGTTAGATCTTCACTCTGTATATGAAATCACCCACAAATATTTATTTTATTTTTTCTAAATATATAGAAAGTTTTATTTAAACATAATTCCATTATTTATTTAGATTTACAGAGTTTTCATTAATAAATACACAACGTTATTTTATGTTATTTTTTGTCATTTTCCTATGGTTAATTATGTTAATAAGTATAGTTGTGATATTATGTTTTTTTCCTCCAAATAATGATTATACCATGAAGAATGATCATGATTTTTTTTAATTATATGATTATTGTAAGTTGTTAATAAAAATCACTTAACAATGTATGAAAGCATGCATATCCTTATATATTTTTGACAATTTTAATCATATTTGAAGGTTAAACATTCAATATTTTTAGGGAAATTTGCAAGTAGTTTAAAATAATAAATAATTCGTTTTTTATCTCTATTAAAAATGTAATTAAAGTTGTACTTATAAGTACTACTGTTATACTGTCTTATGCAAATAAAAGTATGAATACGCATAGAAAATTTAATTGTTTGATCATAAATTATCATGATTACGTATATTGTTTATCAAAGATTTTTATAGAAGTGTTGGAAAACCTTATCAAAAATACAGTCTTATTTTTTTAAATTTATGCAATGTAAATTTAATAAAAATGACGTAACATTGATTTCCCGAGCAAAACAATTTCCTGAATACAAACGAACACAATAAAGCAAGAAAACATACAATAACAGCAAAACTTAATTATTAAAATATTACAAATTTAGTCACTAAAATTTAAAGGCTTAAAAAATTAAATAATTACACTTATAATAATATTTTTGATTCGATTTCAACAGATATTAATAGTTTACTTACATGTCATATATTTATAATATAACTTTATATTCATATTATTTTTATAATCTAGCAATTATTATGATATTTACAAAATTTCAATTGTTACACAAAAGTTTTTTAGTAGTGCAATTTTTTAAATTTTAATTAAAAGAATAAGCTCTATGTTCAAATTATAATAATATTATCTCAAAAATATTCATAGTATTTTAAGTCGTAAACTTATTTTATTTTTATAAAGAAATATGTCTATACATTATTAATTATGTAATTAAATCAAAAAATTAAGTATTTGATTATCTATAATTTTCTATAAAAAGTTTAATGATAAAAACACAGTATTTTTATTAAATCTTCTCTGTAGTTTCCCTGTAGAAGGGGATAAGAATACTTTCACGGCCACTCTTCTGGCTGTCGTAAGATTTGATTAATAAGGTTGCGTCAGGTAAACAGCCGGTGTAAAATTTTATCAAAAAGTATGAGGAGTCCTGAACAGAACATAGGCGGTGCCATCCTGGATGTACGTGGGCATAACAGACTAGAGGAAATAAAGTAGTCAGAGACTGCTAGGCTCTAACTATTTTATACACTAGTCTTCCTTAGCTGGAATCGTGTATAGGTGAAAAAGACAGATACAAAGTAAGAATACATACGTGGAGTGTTGGAACATTAGCTAGTAGAAGTAGACAATTAGTATAAGTATTGATGAGGAGAAAAATTAACATTAGTAGTGTGAGGGAAACTAAGTGGAAGGTAGAGAAAGCAAGGGAAATAGGCGAGGGCTATAAAATAATATATTTGTTATATATATTATATTACCTGAGATATACTCAGGTAAGTCTAATACAAAGAATTGTGTAGGGATAATAATGGATGCGAATATGAAAAGTAAAATAGATGAAGTAGCTAGGAAAAGTGACAGGATTATAGTCCTAAAATTAATTTTCGAGGGGAAAGTGTTGAATGTAATAAGTGCCTATGCACCACAAGTAGCATGTGATGAAAAGGAACTAGGAAATATTTTGGAGTGAGATGGATGAGGTGATGCAAGAATTACCTGGCGATGAGGATGTGGTGATAGGTGGAGATATGAATGGACATGTAGGCAATGAGAGGGAGGATATGAAAGAGTACATGGAGGATATGGTTTAAATGGGAAGAATGAGGCTGGAGAAAGAATACTAAATTTCACAGTAGCGTATGATCTTGCTGTGGTTAATACTTATTTAAGAGAAGAACATTATACAACTTATAAGAGTGGGAATAATAGATCACAGATTAATTATTTTATGTGGAAGAGAGAGAGCGTAAAGCGAGTAAAAGATTGTAAAGTTAACTAATGAGTGTAACTTCACAACATGGACTGATGGCAATGGAATTGTGGTGCAATAGAAAAAGAATATACAAAAACAGAAAGAAAATAGTATTGAGGATCCGGTTGTGGTAATTAAAAGAGGAAAAGAAAAAGAGTTTATAAAAATGGTAAAAAAGAGAACGATGTGAAATGTCAAGGGAGACATAAATGATGTGTGGACTATATTTGCTAATTGTGTAAAGAATATTGCAAAGGAGATTATTGGTGAGAGTAGGAGTAAAATTCCAGGAAACCTGGTAGTGAGATGAGGACGTTTAAAAAATCATAGGGCGTAAGAAAAAATAATTCAAAGTATAGCAGAAGAGCAATAGGAGAGAATATTGGATGGAGTATAAACGATTGTGTAAATAAACCAAGTGTGCAGTAAGTAAGGCGAAGTTTAAGAGGTATGATTGTTTATGTTATGAGGTATGAGTTATATGATTGGCTAGGAACAAAGAAAGGCGAGAAAGAAATCTATAGACTAGCAAAAGTAAAAGAAAAATGGTCTAAAGATTATCATTATGTAAGATGTATAAAAAGTATTGATAATAGAGTTACTAGATAAGATAAGATAAGGAATAAACATATAAGAGGGAGTATAGTTGTAGCGTCAATTGTGGATAAGATGAGAGAAAATAGACTTAGATGGTTTAATCATGTTATGAAGAGAGAGAAATCGAAAGCTGTGAGAACAGTTATAGAAATGAATGTTGAAGGAAAAAGAAGATGTTATTAAATGCGTTATGAAGACTGTTGATGTGTGCCTAGATGATGTAGATGATCATGTCAAGTGAAGGTTTAGGTCAATAATGGTCGACCACAAGTAGTTGGAGTAAAGGCGAAGAAAAAGAAGAATAAATGAAATTTCTTTGGAGTGATATAGCAAAAATTTTAAATTGATTGGAGTCTTCTTAAATTTACTAAAAATACAGTAATATATCTTTAAAAATATATAAATACCATCAAAACTTAATTATATATCCTATCCAGAAGTTTACCGTTACTATTCTATTTATAAAATAATTTTTCGATTTTGTCGAGATTTATTTTATTTTGTAACATACGTACTTGCATTATTTTTCATATCATATAATTAAAAATGAATAAGTATTACATTTTATTTACGCATATATAATCATAGATTAGATAATATTAGTTAGCTTCAGAATTTGATAAGGAAGTTACAAAATGATAAATTTTAGTCTATTTTAGAATAATATTCATTATATTATGTGATTATTTAATAATATGAAAACTGATTATTTAAATTTAATCCAAAAAATAATTGATTCTAGTTGATTTATTACACTTCAAAATACGAAGTTCATAGCTTTAAAATGAATATAAAAAGTCATTAATTCTAAGCTTTAAGTGTTAAAACTTGACATAATTTCAAT